ATATGTTTGTACAGAAATGGTTTGCTCACTTGAAGTACCCATAACAATCACTATTTCAAATCTATAAGTTAAACTGGTTCTAATCTTTGCAGATTGTTATTAGTTCCAACATGAAAATGGCTAGACTCAAAATCCAATAGGTGTACAAAGAAGCTAGCACATATTTGAAAATTTGAAATACTAAAGATTCAGTTGTGTGGTTGTTATAAGAGACAAAACTGAAATACTAATGATTCAGAATCTRCTATAGGGTATGTAAAGTATATAAGTTTGGTTTATTATATAATGTCTTCTAACACATGGGTATGTATGTGCACACAGGGGTATGTATGTATGCATTGCAACAGCAGCTGACTAAGTTGTTATGATGYTTGATTGATGATTTGGAGCTTTCGAAAATGAAGAACATAGGTTGAACTTTGATTTTCTTCATTAATGGCTATTTTGGTGAAATTCTTGAGTATTGATCTTGTAAAAAATAATATAAACATGGTTAGATGGTATTTTGATTGTCGGAATAAAGATTGAATCCAAAATATTGATTTTAGCCTAATTAGTGGTGAATTTGACAGCACCGAATCTATCCGAGATGCTGTTTTGAATGTGCGATAACTTTTTAAATGTAGCTCAGATTGCTACGACTCTGGACATTTTAGAAAGCTTATATGTAGCTCTAAACCTGTCCTTTAGACACTTTTTAGAAATAAGGCTTCTAGGTTGGTTATATTTGCATCTAAAAACTGATAAAAAATTGATTTTGAGTTGTGAATTATAGTAACTAAAATGAGTTTAAATTAAGTTTGGTCAAATTATTGTTGTCGGATCTTTATGAAACTTTGGATACATATTACAGGTGTTAAATAAGATCACTTGGTCCTTCTAGAGTGACCGTTGGACGACGTTTAGACATATATGGACGTAGAGCAGACACATGGGTATGTATGTATGCATTGCAACAGCAGCTGACCATAAGATATGCATTGCAACAGCAGCTGACCATAATATGCAAAAATATGCATAACCTATACCTAGAAGCTCCATGTATACAGGACAACAGGTTATATGACATTCTCAAGCCACCATGCCAACATCATATTTGGTTAGACCAGCTTGCAAATGACAGGTACATTGAATGAAACATGATCACCTGGTGAACAACAGGCAAAAGAAAAAGAAAGAAAACTAAAGCTAACGACTGTCCTAAATTTGCAATGTTTAAGTAAAATTACTTTAGGACAGACTATAGACCATTTGCTCTGTAGGTGAATATACTCCTTATTTGATCTAAATACACACACATAAGGAGCAGGAGAAGCTACTCTATCTAACTACACACACATAAGGAGCAGGAGAAGCTACTGTCTTATACTACAAGAAATGGACATTCATGAACCATGCTCCAAAGATAATGATCAAAGAATAAGATTTGTCACACTACAATCACACTTACCCTTGTTGTAAATCATACTACAAATCCAACTCATGAACAATATAAGATACCAAAAGCATAAGAACATGAAGAAGTACATGCATCCATAGAAGTAATTACCTGGAAGATGGATTGAAGGTTGATGGAAGACAGATAGAACCGATGGATTGAGATGGATTATATTCGAAAACCTACAAAACAATTCAAGAACACAAAAAAAA